TTTTTGGTCAAACCGGAGATTGAACTTAAACCCTTGTGCTTGCCAGGCAAGCTACTTATTCTACTGAGAAATGGGCATAAAATTGATAAGCCATGGTGTGTCAATTTAAGATGACAGGATAACTCCCTGAGAAATGCAGATTCATTCACTTAGCATTGAGTGATGTCCAATGCTGCCTTTAGAATCAGGTAGAATTTTCAGACTATGGGCAAGCGCTCATTGGTCCATTCCTTAAGTTGTCAGGATGGATCACTTAGCATCTTAGCAAATTACTGCCTTAATTTTTTGTTTTAATCTTTTAAAACCAAAGCCTTTATTTTGAGTGATTGCTGCAATTCTCAAGGTGAACTGGATGGTGCAACAGCTGCTGTCTTGGGCTTAGGTGTCATTCCTTCATGGAATCCATGCCTGAATCTGTGATATACAATTTTTAGGTGTCTGATTCGACCAGTTCTGGTGGTATTGTTGCAGGCTGCGAGTTAGATAGAAATATTATAGGCAGTCAGACAGGGTCGGGCCCTTGAAGGAAATGACAAAGAGTAGACACCTTACAACTGTGGGAGGGACCGATGCTCCTGCTGTGAGCCAGCCCTAAAGATCAGACAAATGCTAACCTCCCTAAAGGTTGGCATCCAGAATTGCTCATTATTCGGGAGGAATCATTGTCTGAAGGCCACCAGATAAGGTCCTGTTTTGCATTCATGCCGGCTTGCTATGTGACTTGCTACCCCATTTGGTCCTGGGCCTAATCAATTTTACCTAAGCAATGGTGCTTGTAATCTCATTGGGTGACCATAGTTTGGTCCCACCCCGCATCCACCTAAGCGAGTTTCCCATTCTCTCCACCTTAACCCCGCATGGTTTTACACTATAAAAGTCCCTGGAAGAGACAGCTTCCGGGGAACTACCTACTCGGGGGCCCCCTCCTGTACCTTTCTCGGACAGGAGCTTTCTTTCTCTCAATAAATATATTGTGCTCATAACCTCTGTTTGTTCCTGAAATTCATTCTTTGGTTTTAGAGAACATGAACCATCCAGGTCAGGTCGGGAGATCATTTTTTCCTATGTCATTTGGAGGTTCCCTATATCATTTGGAGGTCACCCACCTGAGATCAGCTTTTCTCCCTGTATCAGTATTTCATCTTTTAGCCTTTGCACTCCAGTTGTACTTTCTCTTGCACTTGGCAGGATAGCCACATTTGCCACAAGTTGACTTCTGAAGGTGGTAGGCCTTAGAGCCACAGCAGCACCACAACATGTGGATCTTATCATAACACTTTCCAAAGGATGACTTTCCCTTTGTCATTTTGCTTGTGCTGCCAAGACCAAAGAGCTACTGTCTTATATTTTAAATAAATCCAAAAAGTCTGAAGAGAGTGAAGAGCAGCAGAGAAAGAGCCTTTCCAAGATGTGGTATCCCAACACTGAATATGGCAATGTGAATAGAAGGAGGAGGGAGGTAGATTCCCGGAGTCCAGAAAGGATCTAAAGCAAGAATTGAAGCTCTCGGGAAGAACAAATAGCATGACTTCAGAAAAGGACAAGAGAGCAGGCAGAACCTTTTTCCCTGAGCCCAGATACACTGCATGGAAGGAGCAGATTGAACCTGTGGATATCCAGTGGCTTCTAGTCAGTAGCAACCCCCAGAGGGCTCCATGGAGACCTGCAGCAGTGGAATGCAGCAGTGGATTGCAGTGGACGTTAAGCTATCTGGGTTCAGACATCCCCCAGGAGAGGGTGATGCCTGGGTGTCATCTTGGAGAGGGGCCAGCTAAGCTCAGAGCTCAGAGCGACTGCTGGCCCAATCTAGCAGCTCTTGGTGTTGAGGGACAAGAGCCAAGTTCAAGTTGGCAGGAAGTGAGGTAGCCGAGTTCAAGCTGGCGGGGCCACAGGGGCTGCCGCAGGCTGAAGGGATCTGGTTCTAGCTTCATGCCAAGAAATAAGTCTGAACTTCAGTGGAGCTGAGTGTACACCCTAGGTGGGATTATCCACTACCCTGCTGGAAAGTGACAGATTGCTTGCTGGGATCAATCAACTTGGATCTGGACTCTGTTCTTTGGTTTTTTAATTTTTATTTTAATTTTTGGCAGAACCAGGGATTGAGCTCAGGCCCTTGCCCTTGCCAGGCAAATGCTTATTCTACTGAGCTAGCCCCTACTTTGGTTTTTTTAAATAACTAAGTTTAGTGGTATGTTTTACATATATATATATATATATAATGATCGCATTCATCATAGAGGATTTGTACTTGTACATGATATATAGTGATTCTTTTCCCCTATCCCTATTCTCCCTTCAGCTACTCTTCCCCTCATTTACAAAAGCTTTGTTTCCATTTTTTTTTCTCTCTCTCTCTTTTTTTTTTCTGTATTTTAGGGAATGGTCTAGAGGGTGTTCAGGGTCTCACTACTAGATGGGACTCATAGTAATTCTCATGTGCAGGGCCTCCTAAGAGCTGGGATTACAGGCACGGGCCACCGAACCCACTCTCAATAGCCTCTCCACCTTCCCCAGGGGCAAGGCCAGCGCGGCAGGCCCGGGGATCGAACCCCCAGCCCCTGTGCCTGCTTACAGGCGCTTTAATCTGCTGAACTATTTGGCTGGCCCTTGTTTCTATTTTTCCTTCTTGTCATTATTTCTGTCCCCTTTATTACTCACCTTCCAGTTCCCCTTCCATTTGAACATTTTCTATCTATTTCATAATATATATTATCCATTTTGGTTCTTATTTTCACTTTTGGTTTCTCATTTGTTTTCTCAAACTTGAGATCATAGTCTTTTAGTGAAATATAGCAGACATACATGTAAATATCACACTGTTTCTCTGGTGTGAGAAATGGAAAGTATAAATAAAGAGCAAAATTTGTAATAGATATTGAGAAAGGTAAAGAAAAATATCTGTTCCATGTTATGCCTAAGATGTTTGATATTCAGACAGATAGTTATTTTTTATTTTTAGTTTTTGGC